TCTTAATTTATAGTGGTGTTCAACCTCAGCCCTTGGCTACGGCATTATTCTGAGAAATAAATAGCTTTAAATGAGAGTAGCGTCATTGTTGTTAGAAATAACTAAGTTCTCTTAAGGAGACGGGCAACTCCCTATCAACATGCCCACTTCCTTCTATTCAGGAATGCCAATAGTCTCAAAACAGGAAGCACTAATCTACTAATAACAATTTCCTGTTTTGTTTACCTCGTTCTTATTTTTCATGTACATTTTTGAGAAGATGATTCTCCACCTCCCTTTTCTATACCGTTGATATAACATCTTTGGTTGCCTAGAAACGCTCATATGGTATTAGCTGTTCCAACACCTTCTTAACCATCACATCATGTTAAATTTTCCAAAATGGTGAAGATTTATATATCTTTATATCTATCAAAGCAAGACGGCTTTTGTAAATGATTTCATTTATGGCCTGGATGGCAATACAGCACCGTATCGATCTTTGTCACATCACCTTCATTGTCTAATTGATGCTCTCTACTGGACATTTGGCATCATTTAGGTGCAGTGTGTGTCTGCTTGGGCAGTGTAAAACTCACAGAGCAGAGTGCTTTTTGTGGAAATTATTCACCATGAATAAAGTTATTAGAGATAACTCACTGCTTGTGTTTCCAGTGAAACGTTGCTGAATGCTGCAGGCTCTCTCTCTCTCTCTCTCTCTCTCTCTCTCTGGACATGTGTGTGTTTTGTGTGTGTGTGTGCACGCCTGTGTGCACGTATGTGTACACTCCACTCACAGTTATTCTTGCATACTTAACAGAACTGTGACCTAGTTTGCTGGACAACTACAGTAAGTGGGTTTTTCTGTTTTAGTAACCTTGTATCCCATCAGCCCCTCCGCCTTGTCATTTGGGAGGAAACCGAGTGGGCCTCTAGATGCGTTTGCACGGGGAAAGGTCTGGAGGAAAAAAAAAGCATTAAATGGAGAAATATTCACAGAGCATCTCTAGCATGAACACTGCTGTATGTTTTTGTGTATGTATATTTGTGTGTGTGTGGCTCACTGTGGAATTCATGCCAGCGCTCCAGGCCGTGTGGTGCCCTGCTGTGGCCCAGGGCCACCATTCTGCTCCACTACCCTCCCCTTCCAGCACAGGACCTAGCATCTAGCAAAGCTCCTCTAGGCCTCAGAGTAGGCATTTTTGTTTGCCAGGCTAGCAGCATTGTGAGCAAAATGAGAATTTGACCATTTTCTTTTTGTTCAGACCAATCTCAGCCGGACGTGTGGACTGAAGGTTTTACAGCCGACAGTGTTGGCTAGCTACCAAGGCAATATGTTCAAGACTACGGATGTTATTTTATTCACATTTTGATTATATCGACATAGATTATTCGTGCTTTCATATACCATGCACAGCGCTGGGGGGGCTAAGCATGAGGGTTTCCAACATTAACATATCTCTAGATAGAATTATTTATTATATAAGACATATTTGTATGGAATGTGCGGCTGTAATGGTCAGCTGGGTATTTGGAGCGCACATGTTACTTCCAACTTTATGGAATTGCAATGACTTGGAATGTCTAAGGTCCCTGGGAAAATATTCACAATAAAATTGCATTTTCTTTAGCCAGCTGTAAATACACAAGCCCAGATGTCCTCAACAGATTCAGACCCTGCTTCTTATCAGCACTTTGTTAATGTTGCCATCAGAGAGTCTGGAAGTTGATCTTTCTGTGTCAATATTGTCTCAACTAATTCATTTTTAGTTTCTGCGGTCATCCATGTTTGCATCGCACAGATTTATAGTTCTTTCTTCGCTGATTCATCAAAGAAACAAGCATGATTTTGTCAGCTTTTGGAATTATTTTGTATGTGTTGGACTGGTAGCTTATAATAAATATCAGCATTTTTGACTTTGGTTTGTTAATTAATCTGTTAATATTTATACACGTTTGTGCACGTGTGTGTGTGCTGTGTGTGTCTGTTTGTATTGAGTCATCAGCAGCTCCAGGTAAAGGAATGCCTGCAAAGTGGCAGATGGTTGGCATAAAGCGGTCTCTCTCCTCCTCCATGAGCACGCCGCCCACATGGCTGCCAACTCTCCCACGTGTTTACTTTCCTCCCAGGACTCGTTGTGCACACTATTTGCTGAGACAAATTTCTCTCCTCACCTACAAAATCTTTTGGAAGTCAGCTTTACATCAGGTTCTGTAACAAAGCAACTCCAAGACCCGCTGCAGTCCAGCCTACTGTATGCAATGCTACTTCGTCTCTGTGTCTTCACAGGCCAATGATGTACGATGCTGCTTTCCTAAGAGGAAATGCCACTGTCAAACAAAACAAACAAGCTCAAAGAACAAGACGGTCTGCTGTCTTTGAAGACATGCTCCAATTTGTTTGAAGTCTAGGTCATAATGGCCACATCAGTTGTGGTCAGCGAGAACGCCAGATGTCTGCGTTTAAAAATTTCATTCCCTTGTTTTATACAGCACATCTAATTAATGAATAGTGTTTTTAGCCACCCTTTTTCGGTTTGCACCGCGTCTATGTTCCCTCGGTCGACCCTACAGGAAAAACACTCCCACACTCACACAAACACACACTGGAGACAAACAGAAAGTGATAGGAACAGGATGGCCCCTCACTATTAAAACTTTCTAGCATTTTATGCAGCTGTCATATTGTTGAGAAAGTCTGAGGTTTAGGTTTATCAGCAGCACTCCTGACTCAGACAGCTAGGCCAGAGAGAGCCGCACAGGTTGTCCATGTATCTCTGCCAGGCATCGCTAATAGAGTAGCTTCTCCACATCCCTGTCACTGCTGGAGCTCCCGTCCCATCTGTGCTGTTGGGCCCCCCATTAGAGTCCCTCAGCTGCCAGATTCTCCCAAGGGACACTTCAACCAGCCAGTCTGAGGACTCATAGACACTGACGAGCTCACAGCTGCATTGCAGACCTCCAGGCTACAAGTTAGGCGTGGAATACATGTGACACTCTGGTCCGCAAGGTCTTTTATAGAACATGGAGTTTTAGAGATTATTTGGAGCTGTTGGAGTGTCGCAGTAAGAACTGAGCCAAACTTTAGTGCGCCACTCTGGTTATTTTTATCCCCTTTTGTCATGTAATCAGCAATCTGCAATCACACTTATCCTTACAGATCATGCCAGAAATCTCTTGCTCGGCTATCATTTTCTCTCTCCCTCTTAGGCGAGCAACACACACATTTCCTGTATTTTTCCTCCTAGATCATTGAGCATTGCAGTTTTCCAAGAGGCTGGCTGTGATTAGAGCCATTGGTACGTGGTTTGACCCAGTTCCCATGGCTCCATGCTCACATCTTGGCACTGAGACCTGGGGATGGCAATAACTGACATCATTAAAGCTAGGCTTTCTGTTGTTGGTGTATGGAGTATGTACACACAACTACATGTCAACATTAAACAACCACACTTCAGTCCTTTTATTTTGTGCAACTTTTATACAGTGATCTTCAGCATGATGCACTGAGCTGCAATGCTGTGTATTTGACAGACTTGGTGTACAAGGCATCATCCATGAAAAGAGCATTTTAGTAATGTATTTTTGTCTGGCTGGTGAATGATAAAGCACAAACCAAGGTCTTTTCCATTCTCTTGGTCAACAGTGAGATAAATTAAGATTTTGTTTTTAAATGAATGATACAAAAAAAGCTATTATTCGCAATTGGCATTGGCATGGTTGGGGCACAATAGCAGGAAGAGGTTGTGCAGACAGGAAGGGGAAGTGCTGAGAGAGTATGTGCACCACTGGGTGGTTGCTGGGGGTCTACAGGTCTGGTTTCGAGTCAGTTTAGGAGGCCAGACTGTCTGCCTAAGCAATCCCTCCCATGTCAGCCTACAGCCCCTTTTGAGCAGGAAGTACATGTTATCCTCCAGCCTGATTAGGTGGTCCTGATAGGTCCTTGATTGTTGCTTTAGACATGTGCATTGTTTTGCCCAAGTTTGTTTAAAGGAATTCTAAAAAAACAACCCAAATGTAATATAATTTATGTTCTCCTAGGAGACAATTTGCCTATTTCATCTTTTCTTGAAGGATTAAAAAAAAAAGTATTGAGCTCTGTTGGGAAAACCTCTTGCTGAAAAAGGACCTAAGTCTTAAAATATAAGCTGTCTGAACTGATCTGACACCGTATATTTATGATATCCAGTGGTTTGCTCTTCTCTGAGCTTATGGCTCATTCAGTACTCCGGATGAGTAGTTTTATCTGCTTCAGCGGCAGTGCAGCTCTGCCCTTTCCTTCAGTCTTTGGCTAAGTCCCCAGTCTGCTGGATCCACAGTGGGATGTGATGCTCCTCAGTGGGAACTGGCATATTTGAATCAGTGGCCTTTGGTCACTGCCATCCTGCCTGTTGCACTCATGCTGGTGTTAGAAGGCTCCAGCGAGTTTACAGCATGTGTAGTGATAATTAATATGTTGAGCCTATGTATTGTCTAATATCATGACTAAGAGAGACAGTGAAACAAACACATGAACACCCACACATGCTCCAAAGGGACAGGTGCATGGATGTGGCCCACCCATTTTGGAGTGCTGTCACATTGATGTTGTACAAAAATTCAGTGAATGAGTCTGCATTCAATGCAAGGCAGCTGGGACTTTATTTCACAACTGTGAAACATTTTGGCAAAGACACACCAATGTGAAACAAATTTGGATACATATGAGACTTGCAGACTGCCACAAATCACCATAACTAGTATGTCATCGTGAGCTTATGAAAAGAGTTTTATTATTTGAATATGAAACCAGTCTGCAATATTCACCATCACGACTCAATCAATACGCTCAATCTCTGTGACTTAAAAGACTTTACAGTGCATAAAGCTGCATTCATTGACAGAGCTGTTATATCCAGCAGGAATCAGACGTCTGCAATGTTGCTCATGGGCAGTCATTTGTTTCAAAATGCTAGCATCAGCTAATGTTCATGTTGCCTCCACTGGATACCCTGACTGTTTTACACTTTCTATCCCTACAGGGCAGAAAAAACAGAGGTGTTAAGCGAGGACCTTCTACAGGTGAGTTGTGGTGTAGCCTGTGTGTGTGTTTTGTGTGTGTAGGCTGAGGGTGCAATCACAACACCTGTAAACCAGGTCCTTGATCAAGTGGTTAGTCCCGTCATTTTACACACTGTGTTAAATTAACAGGAGTAAATCATGTGATTATGACGGCTGTGTTTGACCATAATGGAGATGAGTGGTTTTAACAGTTTTTGTCTTCTTACCCCTTAAAGCGAAGCTAGGTCTCACCAAGGATAACATTTTGTCCGTATGCAGTTCAATTAAAGAGCAATGCTTAAGACAGAGGTTGTTTCAATTGAAAAAAAGAGAAAGTCAGAAAACTAAACAGGTTTTATAACTGCATTTTTTTCCTTTGACCATCTCACAACCTCTTTGCGACTAATTATTACAATTTTTATTATCAAATATTTTTTTATGGATCATTGAAGATATCACATTATATCTTGGCACAACCCATAAAGATGCTTATTTTGAGAGACCAACAATGTTAAACGTGTCATTTTTAAACACAATTGAAGTATAACCTTTATGCATATACATAACCTGTGTACTGCCAATCTTTGCCATGAAGACAGCAGCAGTGTTGTTTCTATGGTAATACATGGGTGGGTATGACAAGAGGCCTCTGTGGTGTGTCCGCGTGTGTTCTTTCAGGTGGAGAAGCGTCTGGATCTGGTCAAGCAGGTGACACACAGCACTCACAAGAAGCTGACCGCCTGCCTGCAGGGTCAGCAGGGGACTGATATGGAGAAGAGATCCGTCAAGTCACCTTCTGTGAGTACCTGTCCATCATTCAATCAGACATGGATATGATGGGATGTGCAATGATGAAACATACCATTCATAATCTTGTATGAATTTTACAGAAGCTCAAATAATAGAATTTGTCTTTACTGTCAGAAAAAACTACCGCTCACGATCCTGGCACAATGTATGGTAGAAGGGGCTGCAGTGTTGGGGGACGACTCTCTCCTGGGGTAAGTCACTGTAGTTAACAGGCCTTTGCTCACACACTTCCCTAGCATACATACACACATGCACAGAGAGTCATCTTTAATTATTGATTTGGCTATTGAATTCTTCTCTGTCCTCATTACCCTTGTCTGCATTTTAATTGCATTTGATTGCCTGTGACTTTGGCTGTCACCAAACAGGAAGATGCTGAAGCTGTGTGGGGAGACAGAAGAGAAGTTGGCCCAGGAGCTCATCCAGTTTGAGTTCCAGATAGAGAGAGATGTGGTGGAGCCTCTCTATGTGCTTGCTGAGGTGAGCCGGTGTGGGTACAAGATATGCGCTGCCTGGCAGATCCGCTCAGGGTCTTGCATTTACTGATGACATAACACATTAACACAATATGACTGGCTGCCGAGTCTGTTCTGTAAATCTTCTTTCACTGTTGAATTTTGCATTTTAAATTCTTTATTTTCAAAAAATGACTCTACATCACAAGCTAGAACCTCATTGGACCCTCAGCCTTTTTACATGGGGGTTGACATGTGTATATTTGTAACTCAAATAATGCCTATCCTTCAAAGAGCTAGGTGAATCATATTATTTATTATCATATTTCATGTTTAATATACTAATTTTAAAATGGATTTGTAGGGTAAACACAGGTCTTGCTAATGAGCTAATTAAGGTTTCGTTCCATTTAGTGTAGCAGAGTCTGGTTGACTTTAATGGAACAGGCCCTTAATTAGTATAACTGAACCGCCTGTGTTTACCCTACTATGCCATGCCAAAATGGCTGCTGTGAAAAAGGTCTGTTGAGTGTCATATCCAAGTTAGGATATATAAGTAGTATAGTAGTAGTCTATATATTTAATATGTACAGTATTGGATGCAGATCTTTTTCTCTACACAAAAATCGTAAAGTCAAAATTTGTTAATCTGCGGAGCAAACACACGGCATCTGTACGCTTTCCAATGTACAGCCAATCATGTGATAATGTGTTAGGTCGTCGTAAATGCAGAAACCCAAGCAGATCTGCCAGGCCGAGCATATCTGGTACCTACACCGGCACTGCTGTTATCTACTGCACCAATTAAGACTTAACACCTTGATACAACCTGATATGCATTACAGAGCTGCACAAAATTACAAGCAGAATACATTTACATAAAAGTGCTGCACTTTTATTCTCTGAGCTGACTTTAATCATCCACTTAATATTCTTTTTCAGGTGGACATTCCCAACATCCAGAAACAGAGGAAGCACTTAGCTAAACTTGTCTTGGACATGGACTCCGCTCGGACAAGGTGATGGACGTCCACATTTAAGAGCTGCTCTTGTTCATTTACATTTTTTAAATAAGGCTCAGGTTTTAAATGACTGTGCAAGTAGCATGACGTATCCAATGTGGTTTTTTCCTCTTTTTTTCCCGCCTCATGCCTATAGATTTCATCAGTCCTCCAAGTCATCCAGTCACCCGAGCACACTGCAGCCCGGCGCCAAGTCCGAGTCTCTGAGAGAGGAGATGGAGGAGGCAGCCAATCGGATGGAGATTTGCAGGGTGAGTCACCAGTCAGAGATACTCAAATATTATTCCCTCCTCCAGCTCCTTGGCTCTCTTTTTGATTTATATCCCTCCTGCATGTATCCGACACAAATGGACCACAATCGAGGATGATATTACAGCTATATGTAGGTGAGATCATTTCTTATCAGATGATGGCTCTCTACTTTCTGTTTCAGGATCAGCTGTCAGCAGATATGTACAGTTTTGTGGCCAAAGAAATAGACTATGCAAACTACTTCCAGACAGTAAGTATATTTTATCATCAAAGTTCTAATACAAATGAGAAAATATTGTATTTTTATTTAGTTTCTGCTTACAGAAAATATTGTAGATTAACTTCATTGTATGATACACATTTGTACACCCTCTTATCACGCTGTCCCCTTCTATAGCTGATAGAAACGCAGGCAGAATACCACAGGAAGTCATTAGAGATTCTTCACAGTATCCTGCCCCAGATTAAAGCTCACCAAGGTGAGTCTTACAGTTTGTGTGTGTGTGTGTGTGTGTGTCTGTGTGTGTGTGTAGAGCTGCTGCAATATTGCACCTGAAGCAATATCAAGATGAGAAGTAATGGAGTTAACAGCCCTGACGTGTCACATAACAATCTCATTAAGCTTTAATTATCCACCTTCATATTTAAGCAATGGCTGCTTTACAAGAGCTAAACCAAACTTAAACGTCATATTTTCCAAATAAATAATAATGTCAATAAAGGTTCCCACAAATGTCTCCAGACTTTTTATACAGTGATTGGTCTGAAGTCCAGGAGGGGATGCAGCTGAGGTGAATAAGTTTGTTATTGTTTGCGTGTGTGGTTGCGATTCAAGTTGTTGTTGTGTGTTGCAGAGGCGTGGGTGGAGAAGCCGTCCTTTGGCAAGTCTCTAGAGGAACACCTGAACATTAGTGGGAGAGAGATTGCCTTCCCCATTGAAGCTTGTGTCACCATGTTGTTAGAGTGTGGCATGCAAGAAGAGGTAGAGGGTACACACACACACACACACACACACACACACACACAGATATACACATCACTTTTTGTGTAGGCTAAAATGCATATTTTTGTTTATGCCGGGACACACATGGTGCTTATTTTTTATTTTAATTAAATTATAATTTTACTTTATCAATCCTTTTATTTAAAGGTAACCTTGCAACCAATCGCACTCATACACCACCAGACATGCAGGCAAACACATATGTGTGCAGATACACACAAATAAAAATGTATGCCATAAATGTGCTAGTATCAACGGTGTTATAAATATAGCCTACATGATTTGAAGTTAATGGACTAAAACATTTAAAACCACCTGCAGGTTCCTGTGTTATTTATCATCAACCGATGTCAAGCGCACAACGATAGAGGCTATTACTTTTGTACAACATTTATATGCGCAGGTCATGTTAGATCTGATAATTACAGATGATTATGTTTCCTATGTGTGGGCTGCAGGGTCTCTTTAGAGTGGCTCCGTCAGCCTCCAAGCTGAAGAAGCTGAAAGCTTCCCTGGACTGTGGAGTTCTGGATGTGCAGGAGTACTCCTCCGACCCACACGCCATCGCAGGTGAACTACACCCACACACATGCCTTGTTCAAAGCCCATTTCCATAACAACAACCCCTACACTACAAACTGTAAAACACATCTATGTTAAAGGAAAATGTTTTTACTCAACATCTGCAGCAGTTTTTATGGTGTGCGAAGGTAATTTATACTTTATGAAAGTTTTTAGATTGATTTTGCCCTTAGTTGGCGGAAAATTTTGTTAACAACAGAACAGTTACTGGCTATCTTCACCGGCTCTGCCCCCAGTGCTCTTTTCCTGAAGGGTTTTTGTTCTGATATTGCTGTCCGTTTCACACATTAGCATGAAATCTGTGTTGAGCAATCTCAATCTGGCAGCTGCACTAGCTGCAAGGGCCTGCTGGAGGGGAGTGGAGATATGGGGCATGGCCTCAACAGTGCTCTGAAGAGAGAAAACAACCCTCCCCTCCTCTAAAAAAGCTAACAAGTTTTTACTCCCTGTTTTTTTCACCCAAAGGGGCTCTGAAATCATACCTCCGTGAACTCCCTGAGCCACTGATGACCACTGAACTTTATGATGAATGGATTCAGGCCTCCAAGTGAGTTGCTGTTTTCTTATTAAAAACATGTTCTTGAATTATGCCGGTGGGCACACTGAAAAACGGAAAGTAGTCCAAAGTCGTTATACAGGGGGTCTGAACTGCCACAATGAAAAATGGTGACATTTATTTAGAAGTGGAGCAACAGTAAATTATAATGATTTTTTATTTCCCCAGCATTCAAGATATGGACAAGAGACTACAAGCACTAATGGCAGCATGTGAAAAACTCCCCACAGACAACTTGAACAATTTTAGGTCAGTCACTTTCCTTGATTTTCTGTACCTTTATTTAAACATGTTCCCATGTGGCCCTACTATAAAAATAAAGAAAACACGATTGCAAGGTAAAATTTCACTCATATCTCAAGCTCTCTAAGAAGACAAAAAGAAACTTCTCAAAATGAAAACAGCCGTGTCATTGATGCAAATTACCCATACCAGGCCAAGTACCATCAGTTTCAGCGCTGCAGTTTCAGTCCAACCTGCACCACCTACAGGCAAAAAAAAAATAGCAGCAGTAGCAGGCTTACCACCCACAGGCAAAGACATTGATTCTGTAATATTGCACCACCTGGTGGCAATTACTTTTACAGCGGTAGTAATCAATGTCTGCACGTGGCAAGTTTTAAAATTGCTGCAACTATTAATTTCTCGTCTTGTTTAGGGCAACATCAGTATGTCTACATCTGCAGGTTTTAACTGCTGCTGCTATTTCCTTACATTTTTATACAGTAGGTAGCAGTAGCACAGGTTCGCATATAATGACTTTGTGCAGGATCTGCAACCTGCTAAAAGTGACTGAGTAAGTTTCAGTAACAATATGTGGGTAAATATGACAGTCATCTCTAACACAGCTCTGAAGGGTTAGTACATGTGTGCAGCTTAACAAGATGTCTGAGAAATAAAATTCAATTCAATAAATTGACTTTAAGATGCACTCTTAATTAAATTCCACAGATATCTAATCAAATTTTTAGCCAAGCTAAGTGAGTACCAAGACGCAAACAAGATGACTCCTGGTAACATGGCGATTGTTCTCGGCCCCAACTTGCTTTGGACACACACTGAACCGTATGTATTGAAACAACTATTTTACATGAATTCAATTCTTTTTTTACACTTTTATACTGTAGTTCAGTTATTTTTCTTCTTTCCAGGAACATGACAGAGATGATGACCACCATGTCCCTGCAGATTGTTGGCATTATTGAGCCCATTATCCAGCATGCTGACTGGTTCTTCCCTGGAGGTGGGATCACATACTATGTATGTAATATTGTTGTCTGGCTGGGCACCATATCAATTTTAATTGGTCTTCCATCATTGTAATTCTAAAATGAGATTTAAAAAAAAATTGTAAGTAATGCCCCACAATTTTGTTCAAATGAACATATCAAAACATAAGCAAAGTCAGACTTCTGTCAGAACAATTAGCCCTTTTATATTTATTACTTGATATAATATGAATATACTTCGTATACTATATTTAATTATTGTTTTTCTCTTGCTCAGTCCTATATGAATATGATGACACCTTATGATCCTATCACTGTCCTTCATCATTATCAGTTCACATAAACAACCAACAATAGATAATAAAATAGACCATAAAGTCGTACAACAAACCAGCTGTACAACAAAAACACACATGAAGCATAACAAACTGCTCATGAGTGCTGCACACATCATGATATTTGAGCACGATGTGTTTGAAGCTGCAGCATCATGTATCACCCAACTCAGGGCAGCAGTTAATGCTGCGTTTGCTGTTTAAAGAATTTGTCTTGTCATTCGCTACAATGGATCACTTCCTGTTTGCACAAGTCTCATATACACTACAGATATAGAGTTAAGGTGTACACCAGCCATTAATTTTTCTTGTCATATTATTGATTTTATGAATTATGTTTTTTTACTCAGTGGAGTAAAAGCATGCAACAAAGCAAAATGTTAAATTATTTCATTAAATATTGAATAAAACCATGATAATATTGTATTTGGTACTATCACTTTTTCAAATTGGTAATTACACCAGTGTAGCTACTACTGTAACATCAGTATACCTTATGCTGATGGTGTATCCACTCCTCCCTTAGAGATTGAATTCAACTTGACAGGCAGCTATGGCAGCCCGATCCACACCAACCACAACTCCAACTACAGCTCCATGCCCTCACCAGACATGGACCAATCAGAGCGCAAGCAGCAACACGACCAGAGCCGACGCCCACTGAGCGTCGCCACTGACAACATGATGCTGGAGTTTTACAAGAAGGATGGGTATGATGCCAAGTGCATCCTTCTGCTGCCCACCTCTCACTCTCTCACTCTCTCACTCTCTTTCTCTCTCTTTTCCACCCACGCCTCCTCTCAGGCATCTGATATTTAATTCTTATATTTGAGGCCAGCAACACATGCACATTTAAAGTCCATTACCTTGGTGGAGTATTTATGCATCCTGTTATCTAAAGTCTTCCGCTCCAGTGAGTCAAATGCATCCATAAGCTGCAGACAGGTGATGGTATATCTCACCTGTCCATAATTCCAACACACACAACTACATCCTCAATTATTAGCATTCATCAGATGAAGAGAGGGCTGAAAACTAGTGTCATTTGAGTACATGGTGCTGAATTGCCTTGAGTGGCATTATCTCTATGGCAACGGGTCTCTGATGGAGGGCTGTTGGTTACGTGTTTTTTTTCTCAGGAAATATTTCTCCAGGGCTATCTTCCCATCCTCCCACACCCATCTCCTCCTTCGCAGTCTGGCTAGCACGTCACCTGGCCTGAGTCATTCCTCCAGCCGGTGGAAAAACACTGGCATAATTGGCCTTCACCAAAATACCTACATCAAATTAAAGAAAGGGCTGTAATATAAATCAATCTGTCCATCCCATAATCAGCCATTATCAGTATGGGGTGATATAAAATAGCTTTTATCTATTTAGAGTAATTAGCAGCTTAGGAAGAAGCGTCTGCTCTGCCTCTGTGTTTGTGCGTTTCTAAGACCAAACAGGTTTAATTAGAAAAAAACAAGCCTTTAATTGCTCAGTAGATAGGTACTGGCTGGTTATGTGGCCTGACATCCTCTCATCTTCTCCTCCCTGCCATCATATACAGTATACTGAGTGACTGAGTCTGTGATTGTGAACCATGTCTACATTACTTCTGACCTCATATCCCTTTTGCCTCTCTTCTCCCTACTAACGCAGCATTAGGAAGATACAAAGGTACGCCTTTTTCCCCACTTCTTTCCTCACTACCCCCTCTCACCTCTGTCCTCGTCATCATATATGACTCGGCATATGTGTTTGTCTTCAGTATGGGCGTCCGGGTTATGGATACCTCCTGGGTGTCTCGTAAGGGTTCGGCCACGCTGGCACGCAAGGCCTCCTCCACCCCTCCGGGCATGCAAGGGCCTGGCTCTCCCGCAGACACGCTGATCCCGGAGCAGCCAGGAGAGCTCGCCACGTCCCCATCCGCAACGCCACCACCTGGAGAAAGAGTTTGGTAAGTCACAGTGGAAATGCTGTCCCTTATTGCCTCACGCATCCACTCCTGTTCATTTTTACCATCATCACCATCATTATCTTTCTCAGCTCTGTGTGATCGAGATCCCTGGCTGTGTTAATCATACTCCCATTTTTTTTGCGACGCCTCCTTTTTCTTTTTAGTGTTTCTCTGTCAACATCTCCATGCCTCTTTGTGTTATTTTTTTTTTTTTCTCACTTTCCACATTTCTTCAGTTCTCACTGTATTTCGTCAGGTTGATGTCACTGTGGGAAAAAAATTCAAAAGGATAATTACATTTTTTGACTCTAACTCTGACGGGTTTTAGTCCAAATACTATGGAAGTTTTGTTTCTGTACTGTACATGACACTAAGCTTCTATCTGCAAGTCCTTTTGCGAGCATGCTAATATTTCCAATATCCCATTGTTGTGGCTTGGCTTTCTCAGCTTTGGTTGTGAATTATTTCCTTTTCTGTTGACACTCAGACTGATTTCACCATTTTTTGGTCTGATTATCATAGTTAAACACATGAATAATCACCTCATGGTCGCTGGCTCTGCCTGCGTGGCAGACAAGAGATAATATGGCTTCTGGCTTGGCTGGCTTTCCCCTCCTCTCCTGTGGCTCTTTCAGCCAATGAAAGGGTTTTGTGTCTGTTTCACACTGCCCTGGGCTGACTGCAGGACTGCAATGCAAACAAGTCATAGGGGCAGATAGGGTTTCCATATGCAGCAGAGTGGAGATATTCAGTAATCAGCTCAGCTCGATAATATCGTAAGCTGCAGACCAGCACTTTGACTCCAGAGACAGATCCTCACAGCTCCATGCAGTGTGCAGACACAAGGTGATCACAGAGGGAGTCCTACACACTGTATTCTTTTCCTTTGGCAATAAAACTTTCTTTTCCTTTGCTGTTTCTTTGTGCTTGTCTTTGTATTTGCACTAAGTTGAGTGTGTGCTTAGCTTGGTGCCCGCCACCCACCCTAAAATGCAAATTCTACCTTTTTTTTTTTCTTCTGTTTCTGGCTTCGGACCAACTAACACACTAACACCCTAATCATCAAAAAAGCTTATCCTATATCGCTCCAATGCGTCTCCCTGTTCAATCACTAGAGCTGTTTCTTTTGTGCTGTCTATTCTCTTAATATCTACAGCTCAGACAACGTGTCGCCAAATCGGCCGGACACCTCTCATGCCCACCCACCCCCAGGGGAGGAC